GGTGGGTGACCCCCCCTCCCCCAGCCTCGTCACGCCGTGCCCTGGCTGCAACGCTCGCTGCCCGGGGACAGCTCTGCAAAAGCGGAGGAGAGGGGAGCCCCTGCAACTGCGCTCCTGCACTGCTGCAACTCAGGCACCCTGCTCCTCGACCAGCTGGTGTGCGGAAGTAGGAGAGAAATAGGTTTGTTCAGGAAAAGTCCTGTCCTCCTTCCAGAAAACTGGACCAGAGGGAGAAAGGGCTGGGGCACTCCAGTAGCTAAGGCAGCAGTTTTACAGCCAGCGTTACACATGACCTTAGCAAACCTGATTTCTAACACTGTGAACAGCAGAAGAGCACAGGAAAAACAGGTTAAAAAGTGAACTGTGCTCTAGCCCGGGGGCTCATTTCTGACTTCCCGGCTGCCTGGAGTCACGGCACAGCCAGCGGAGGGTGGGCTGTGCACAGACCCGGCTCTGCTCCCGCTGCTGCCGGCCTGGCCCCACAGACCGGCCCACGCGCGGGCCGGGGTGAACCGCACATGCCTTTCCTTTAAAGGCAATACAGCCGCCGCCGTCCGTGCCGTCCAGTGGGAGTGACACTGGCATAAGCCAGCCGTGTCCAGCTGGCACAGGCCAGCCAGCGCTGGCTGTGCAACCCGGTGACACGGGCCAGCCCGAGGCATCTCAGCCGGCGGGGAATGGGTGCTGATGCTGGCCTGGGAGCTGCTACGGGTGATGCAGCTGCAAGCGTTAGCACAGAGCTGGGCAGCTGAGCAGTGCCAGCGCTCAGCTCCAGCGTGCTCCTGCCTCCCACCTCCCCGCCTGGTGCACTGCTCTTCCACCAAGCCCCTGGGACTGCAGGCAGCTGGGCTGGTTTGCATCCAGAACTGGTGACCTCCACCAAGCCAAGTGGAGCTGGGACAGGTTAGCAAGACTAAAGCTGTAGGCTCCAACACCCCCACGCTACCCTGGAACAGAGGAACAGCAGGAGCAGAGCTGCTCATATGCTGCAGCGGGCAGAGGATGCCCCACCTGTCTGACCCAGAGCTGGTTCAGAGCCCAGCTTAGCCCTCCTTGCTACGAATGTCCTTCCTGTAGGGAAGCAGGGGAACTGCGTGCCCTCCCATGAGCCCCTCTCTCAGCCCAGCTTCACCCTGATTCATCTCTGCACCTTCGTGACTGTGATGGTAACTCGTGAGCTGCAGGGTGCTGGGCAGCGGGGCTGCAGGGCGCTGGGCAGCAGGACTGCCTTCCTGCATGAGTGCAGCAGTCTCCCTCGTCTCCTCCTGGGGCAGGAGGCTGCCGGGGACTATTTCTTTGGTACTTGACGTGCTTGTTATGCTCTCCCTCGGCGAGGAAGGTGAGCTGGAGCGGTGTGTCCAGCGTGGAGGAACTGCATGGTCAGAGACCAGCCCTGTGACAGCTCTGTCTTCTGCCCAGAAACGTCGGACCCTGGTAGCTGCTTGTTCCAGCCACCCCGGGGAGCAGAGCTGGTGGCTGGAGTTTATGTTGCAGAGCGCTAGGGACGCTGAGCCTGAACCCGTGCAGATCAGGACCTGGGTGCAATGCCACGTGCAGAGCAGTGCGAAGAGCAGAGGGAGGTTTCGACGCCGGTGAACGCAGGGGCGGCCTTTGCTCTGCCGTTCCTTGTGCAGGGGGGCACGGAGGTGACGGGGGCTGCTCGGGTGGGGGCGAGGGACCTGTCACTGCCAGCTCGCGCAGCCCTCGGGCAGGCTCTGCAGAATGTCCTCCAGGTTCTGCTTGTCGGCCCGGATCTCGGCCAGGTCGCTCTCGAACGCCTGAATCTTCTCCTGCTGCCGCTCTGCCTCCCGCTGCAGGTGGCTCAGCCTCCCGGCCAGGGTGCCTGGCACGGCCAGGCGCAGCTGCCGGCGCCCCTGATGAGAGAGAGGTGCAGAGCCAGGCAGGAGAGGCCCGGGGCATCAGGCAAACTGCAAGGAGTGGGTGCAGCGGGGCATGGAGGCATTGCAGCTTGCCAGCGATTACAAAAAAATAAATAGGACTGTGGCTCCAGAGAGGGTCTGAGCACCTCGCTTTCTTACAGGTGGATGATGATTTCCACCCCTTTGCAAAATTTCAGAGCAGGAGAAGCTGGAGCAGATCCAACCAGCAACAAGGAGCAAACCCAGCCAGGCAGCTCCCTTGGCTCCCAAAGGCCTGAGCCCTTAACCCAGCCCTGCTGCCAAGGGAGATCAGTGTCTCTTCTCTGGCATGCATGTTCAGCAGCTTCTGCATGAGGGCTTTCCCTGAGCTGTTACCCCCTCAAGAAGCTTTGCTAAGATCCAGAGTGATCTCCAGCTCAGCCTGGACGGCACCTACCCAGTGCCAGGGAGCAGGAGAGCCCCAGGCCCTGGCAGCCTGGCAGCTCCCAGGGGACCTGCAGCTCGCTCCCCGCATGCGCCTCACCTAGGCTGCTGAGCAGGTCGTTCAGGGTCTCGATGTCCGAGAGCAGTGAGCCCCGGGCTTCCTGGAGACTTTTTGCCATTTGACTTGCCTCCGTCCTCACCTTCCAACACAGACACCCAAATCAGGCACCCTGGAGACCCTTGGCTGGATGGCAGAGGGGAGGGGATCCCAGGAACGGCCCAAGGTGTTTCCCGTACAGCGGACCCCAAAAGCCAGGTTGCTCCTTTTGCTCCAGGCAAAGCCCCTTCCTGGCTTTGGCTGGAAACAGGAGGACACAACCTGCCCAAGGGGACCTGGCTCACCTGATCTGCTTCCTCCAGGTCCCCCCTGAGCTTCTCAGCCATACGCTCCTGCCTGGAGAGCTCCCGCTGGGTCTCGCTGGTACTCGTGGCGAGCTTGCTGGCGTGCTTGCGGGCCTGCTTGCTCTCCCGCAGCACAACCTGTGCCCTCTGCAAAGGGAAGCACATGGGGAGAGTTTTCAGGGACACCAAGGAGGCCTGCAGCTGGCTGCCAGGCTAGGGCAGCAGACGTGGAGAGGCCCCCAGCTGCATGCATCCCTCCTTATCTGCATGCGGCTCTGGCTGGGCCTGCTGCAAGCCTGGGACGGCATACGGAGCTGGGGAGGTGTTTCAAAGGGCAGGAGTGTTACAGAGCAGAATCAAGGCTGGTTGGGTGGGACAAGGATGTAGAAAGGCCTTCAGACATCCTTTGGGAAGGCAATGATGGGCTCTGGGGGGGGAGAGGAGGGGGGCAGCAGAAGCTGTATTTGGGGAGCTCTGTGGCCTGGCCTGCAAGAAGCTGGGCTCTGCTTCGAGGGCCGCCCAGCGCAGCCATGCCTCGCAGTCTGGCGCCCACTGCCTGCACCCTGCGCCCCTTGCTCAGACCTTAGCACTCTGGCTGGCGACTTGCTCAGCCTCCCCGGCCATCCTCCTGGCTGTGGTGGAGACAGACAAGGAACTTCCCAGCATCTTCTCTGCCTGTTTAGTCTTCTTCTGGGCGTCCACCATTGTCCTGTCCCGCACAAGCGCCATCCTTCTGCTCAGGGCAGCCTGGCCCTTCCGACGCCCCAGCACCCTCCTCGTGCCTATGGGGACAAACCGGTGATCACCGTGGGCCTTTCTCCCCTGAGGCACCCAGAGCTACTCTGATCTCTGAGAGCAGAAAGAGAGGCAGGACAGCACTGATCAGCCTTGCTGGGTGTTTGCGGGTGGGTGACAGCTCAGGTGACAGCCCTTCCTCTCCTCGCAGACACGGGATGCATCAGCTACTTGTCCACAGGCGCCTGCTCCGACCTGGCTGCCTTGGAAAGGGTTTTAACCCCAGCTCGGTTCTTGGCCATCCATCTCTACCCTCTCCCTCCGTGAGCTGCGTGGAGCCGGGGGCTGGCTGGGGGTGCCAAAGCAGCATCGGCACAAACCCCGTCTGGAAGGTGGCAGGAGCTGAGCTCTGGCTGGGAAATGCTCTGGACGGTGCCTTTTACCTTCCAAGCTGGCCAGGAGGGACTCTGCGTCGGAGAGCACAGCTTTGCCGTGTGAGACTGCGGAGGTGGCCAGGGCGTGGGCAGAGGCAGCCCTGTCCTGCAGCTGCGGAAAGGAGAGCAGGGATGAGGCCGGGGATGGGGGGAAGAGCTGCGTCCAGCTGTGAAACGTGAGGCCCAGCCGGCTCCTGCTCGGCAGCAGTGCTCCTTGGGAGAGCCGCAAGCATGAGAAGGAGACAGACGTCTCTCAAAACGTCCGCTCCCACTCCCCTGGCTATAGGCACGGCCCCTGCAGCC